TAATATATTCTTATATATATATATATATATATATATATATAATTTTCTAATTATAATAAAGATATTATTATATATACCTTTTGTAATTCATTACTTTTACATATCAGTATACTCTCTCCTATATTTCCCATACCCGCACGACCAGCTCTTCCTACCATTTGTTTATATCTACTTAAATTCAAAAACTGATTGCCAATATACGGACTTCTTAATATTACCTATTATGTTATTCTTGGTAAAAATAAACAATAATTATTATTATTTAAAACGAATAATAATTGAAATACCCTTCTTGCTGGTAAATTTATTCCAGTTGCTAGTGTTGATGTACAACATATTACACAAAGAGTCCCTGATTTAAAAGCATCTTCTAATAATCGTCTTTCCTCAGATGTAAGACCAGAATGATGATAGACTACACCAAAATTTATGGTTTTATGTAAGATAGGACAAAGACCTTCTTCATTTTTAAGTGCATTTAATAAATCTTGTTTTTTATCCCTTTTGTAATCTTGTAATGATCTATAAATAATCATACATAATTAATATGATTTATAATAATATGTAAAAATATATACAAAACATAAAAAACATAAAAAAATTTTTTACTTGGGTAAAACTTTAGCTAATAACAAAGCAACATTTTCACAATTTTTACGAGAGGAACAAAATATGAGACATGAATGTTCTGGAATTATATCCATTACCAGACCTGCAATTCGATCAGGATCTATGATTGCTGCATCCTTTGAATACTTTTAAAACAAATGAATAATTATTAAATATTAATAATTATTAATAATTATAAATATAGAAAAAATATAAAAATATTAACTTACACGATAATTAATTTTTTTTACATCTGTTAACAATTCTTCTGTTTTTAAATCAACTAACCAAATATTTTCATCACATTTCACATATTCTTTAATTTCAATAGGTCGAAAATTTCCAGTATATAAATCTGCATTTAAAAATGTTGCTATTTCTTCTAAATTACCTATTGTTGCACTCATTCCAATAATATGAATATTATCTAAAATAAATAATGTATTATAATTAATAATGTATATAACATATTAAATATAAATATAATATTAATTTTTATAAAAATGATTTTTTTACCATTAACATAAAGTACTTTTGTTAAAAGAACTTCTAATGTAGCACCCCTTCCTCCATTTTCTCCAAGAAGATGTAATTCATCAACAACTATAATACCAATCTAAAATATGTTGATATAAATTAATATTTGAACTAAAATTTTAGTGATGGATCTATTAATTTTTACTCACTTCATGAAGACGTTTTTCTTCTATTAAACTATTTATTAAACCTAATGCTTTTTCTATAGTACATATATATATGCTATTTTTTTTACGACGCTTTTTGGGAGGAAAAGTTCCTTTTGTTGCTGCATATTCTTCAACTAAAAAACCTAACTCAAGTGCAAATGGTGTCATTGCTTGAATCTAAAAATTTTAAAAGTATTTATATTTCTTTTTGATTAATTATTATAATTATTATAAATAATGATTAATAAATAAATTCTACAACATTGTATGATACTAATACTTACTTTTTCTTGTACTATAGCAACGAATGGTAATATAAATATTGCATTTTTTTTATTACACATAAGTTCTTGCAACATTAATATTTCTGCAACCAATGTTTTACCTCCACTAGTAGGAAGGGCATAAATTAAATTTTTTTTATTCTTTATTGCATCTAAATTTAAACAATCATCTTGCCATTCTAAAACAAGATATATAATTAATATAATTAATTAAATAATATAAATATAATGAATAAAATAAATTTATTAATAATGAACTATTTTATCATAAATTAGGTACTTACGATATAATGTATTAATGCCTTTAATTTTTAAGAAAAGTTCTTTTGTCTTATTTGACAAACCATAAAATGTATCATTGTTTATTAAACTTGTATTAATATTTATATTTTGTTCTTTTAATTTATTATCTAAACAACATATTTTATTTGGAATAATATTGCTATAATTAACTGAGTATCTTTTAAGAAATTTGACATCCTGTTGCTTATTTTTTAATAAATGTATTGAATTCATTCCTTTTGTAACATACGTTTCTTCAGAACAATTTTTTAATGTATGAATAATCTATTTTAAAAAAAATATATAATAATGCATATAAGTCTTAAAATTATATCTATGAATTTTATATTAAATATATTTACAAATATAGAAATGTTAAATTATCTAACAACCTGAGTAGAACATTCTAAAACATTTTTTTCGTCATATGAATCAAATTGTGAAAACATTTTATCCAAAAATGTATTATCCTGCCAATGAGTATTTGTTTCATTCTGAGAAAAATTTAAATTATTTTGTGTAATTTCTGATGATTTCTTTTCTTTTTTCTCTTCATTATTATCAAAATATTGTGTTTTCCCATTATTTTCATCTGTATTAAATACGTCACAAACACTCCATTCATCTATAAAACTATTTAAAGTTTTTTGATCATTAACATTTATCTCATTTTCATTATCATTTTCAATATTTTTTAATATTTTATTATCCATTGACAAAATATAATCAATTAGTTGTAATAGTTTAAAAACTATTTCATTTATTTTCTTGAATTCATATTTATATTTATATAATTATTATTTAATAAACAATTTGTATTTAAATAAATATTCGTAAATAATTATAAAAAATTTATCGCCAGTATATTCATATATTTTTCATAATTATCATAAAAGAAAAAAAATAATAAAAATATAAACTATCACTAGTGAAATCAAAAGCAGTGTTGCTAACTATTCTACACTTTCCGTTTATATATAATATAAATATGTTTTCAAAATTTCAAAGTTTCAATTAAAAATTTATTTCAAAAATGATGCTATCGCATGAATTTAGTTTTATTAATATTACAAATCAATTCCTTGAATCTGTTTTCAATCACTATCAATAAATAAAATTATAAGCGAACTTTTTAAAATTTGTTGAGTGAATATGAATACAAAGTGTATAATTAAAATTTTAAAAACAATAAATTTTAAATAAAGTTTAAATTTAATATGTTAAAGTATTGCAATCAGAGAGAAAATCAAAATCCGACAATAATTCTCTCAAAAATTTTTTAAAATTAATTTATTACAAATTAAATCAAATTAGTTTAAAATTTTCAATTAAGGTACGTACGATATTTATAAAAAAAAATATTAATTTTCTAAAAATATTTTTTTTTTTAAATATTATTTTTCTTATAATATATTTTATCTCTCTGCATTCTAAGATCATAAATTTTTTTAAGAATTACTTTCTGGCATTTTCATACATGTACATCATGCCAATCCTATAAGACAATTTTTTTTTGTCTTCACCTACTTGATGGTGTATTGAAGAAGAAAAATTGAAATACAGAAGAGAAAGTTTGCAATTAGAAAGAAATTCTAAAGGAAAAAAAACTTAACAAATAATTGATATTGAGCATTAATTGAGAATCAGAAGCGTGAAATCTTTTGTAAATTGAAGCATTTTAAATAATAATAATAAAAATATCGAATAGCAAAAATTCAAAATTTTATTTTGAATTATCTTCCATTAATTTCGACGAACAGATCAAAAATCTAATTCATATTCTCAATCTTCTGAATTCTTATAAATCTGTAATGTTAGATATATTTTCCAGCCTAAAATTCAGAACATCTGACGAAGTATGCGATAAATTTAATAATTTTTTTCTTAAATCATAATTGTATAAAATATTTAATAACTTAATTAAATAAATATTGAATAAATATGCAATTTATGGAAAAATATATTTTCAGTAAATAAGGAAGTACTTATATAACATATTATAACCTGAAAATTAATATATCTGAATGCATTTTCGTAATTTGAATCAAATCCGAATAAAATAACTAAATTAGTATAAAAATAAATATCTCGAATTAGTTATTAAAAAAACAAAAGCAAAAATTCGAAATTTCTTATTTTAGTTTTAATAATATTACTGATTCAAGATGAATTATATTTTACTTAAAACTGTTAAATAAATGAAAATAACCAAATAAATGAATATTAATAATTATTTATATATATATATATATATAAGTAATATAAAATTATGTTTAATCTATCAGGTGATCTATTGTGAAAATATAGTTACTTAACCTCATCAAAAACAATAATTTTGTAACACCAAGATAAAAAAAATAAACATGAATGTTCTTATAAAATCTCTGATATCAATAGTAAGCATAAATGATAATATATTATTATTAAAACAATAGTTATGTTCTTATTAAATTTTATATTTAAAGTATTTATAACACGTAATTTAAGGTTAAACCAGTACCTCTACGACGTATTTCAATAACTTGTATATATTGTAAAGATGATTTTCAAGATGTAATTCATCCAGAAAGTCAAGAACCTAACATACCATTATATGTAAAACGTAATGAAGAAAGTAAAGATATAAAAAAAGCTCGGTAATATATAAAATAAATATAGAATAAATAAAATTTTAAGTATTAAGATTAAAATTTAATATTGTTTTTATATATTTTATTTTTATATAATATAGATTATTGTATCAATCTCGCAAACGTGGTATGTTAGAAAATGGTCTTCTTTTAAGTACATTTGCTAAAAAATATTTATGTGATTTTGATGATAAACAACTTCAATTATATGATCATCTTATCAATTTGCCAACCAACGATTGGGATATATTTTATTGGGCTACAGGTGCAAAGCCAACTCCACCTGAATTTGATAATGAAGTTATGGATTTGTTAAAAAACATATTAAAAATGAAGACCGTCAAGCAAGAATAATGCAACCTGAGTTATAAGTATATAGAACTTAGTAATTTAATAGCTTCAATTTTCGCTTTAATCTTAAAAAAATAAAATTATGATAATATAAAAAATTATTTGAGTTAGGATATTTTTTGTTAACATATAAAAATATGGTAGTATTTATATTGTAAATATAATATTTACAATTATAGAATTTATAAAAATATATAATTATAATGTTATCTTTTATTTATTATATATCAATTAATATTATTAAAAATATTTTTTATTATAAAATTGTGTATATATACATATTTTATTTATCTTATAAAAACATAATATTATTGCATTATTTTGTGCCATAAAATGCCAATTTCAAATCAATATAAATAAATTATATCCTAAGTTACATGGAGTACCATGCTGTTATAAATACATATATATTACATATTAAATCAATCTTATTTATGTATTTATATTATTTCTTTGAATTTAAGCTTACTAATCCCGGTCCTTTGTTTAAATTTGTAGTCGTACATTTTGCTTTTGTTGTTGTTTTTCTTTTTTGTATGCTAAAAATAAAATAAGAATTATCAAAAAATAATATATATAATATGTCATTATATTTAATATGATATAATAAACAAAGTAAATAAATGTATACCCTGATGTTCGTTTAAACTTTTTATTTGTATTTCGATAAGTAGTTTTGCCTTTACGTTTTTTACCACGAAATGAGTTAATTTTACCGGAAAATGTAGGAGTATCGTTATACCATGTATCGTCATTATCATCATCACTACTTTCTTCCTTTTCTTCACTCAATAATACTGTTAAAAATCATAGTATAAATATATTATTATATATATAAATATATATTATTAAAATATATCATATTATATATAATTAAATATAACTTATATAACTTAAAATTTATTAAATTTATTTACCATATTTTTCTGCAGCATATTTTTGTGTAATATCTAATAAAGCTTTTCCATATTTTTCAAAGTTTGCTTTAGTTACATGTGGGATTTGTAGCATAGCTTCTTCACTATCTGGAAGTATTTGACTCATTGCTCTAATTGCAATCATGTTCATAACCGATGATGCTGAAACATCAAGTGCTCCAGCAATTCCTCTTATTATCTCCATCAATTCTTTGTAACATCGATCTTGTAATTCCACAAGTATTTTATCAATTTTTTTCGTAACTGTAGATACTGTTGCTACAGCAGTAGTACTATTACTAGACTTTATAGGAAGCATTATCTATTTTAAAAACATTATATTTTAATAATTTATTCTTATAATTCACTTTTAAACTAAAAATAAAATAAATTGAATATATTATTCTACTTTTATATCTTTTTTTGTCATGAATTCTGCAGCATTTGGTCCAATTTTTACATAAGCACAAGCAATTTCATTGTTTATGTACATCTGTTCTTGTAAATATTCCTTAAGCACCATATGATGTAATAAACGGTCAATATCGGCTCTATTCCACGATTTTCCACGACCGTATAAAGGAGACTTATTAAGACCTATATAAATATTTAATATTTATTACACAAAGAGATAATATACGTATAATATATTGAAATTTAATCTTTATACCCAATTCTCTTATTTTCTTGATATCACTTCCTTTAAATATATCTGTGAGAAGTACTAATGTAAGATTACAATTTCTTGTTTGATTATTAATATCGCGTACAGCTTTCATAATATGTTTTGCATCATCTGTTGCATCTAACATAGTAATAGTATCCTAAAAAATTATATACAAAATATTTACACATATATATTTACATATAGATATTTAAATAATTTAATTAATACAAACTTTATTTTTTTAAATAAAAAAAAAACTTACTTTACTTCTACAATTATCACATGATGTAACTTTGTTAGCGATACACTGTTCTCGATCAAATATTTCACCAAAATAATTTAATTGTTGTGTTCTGCGACAATCTGTTTTATTTTCACAAAATGATACCATTTTAAATAAATTGTCGATATGAGTTTTTATTATAGTAGGATTTGAGTTATCTAGTTCAATCATTTTTCTAATCCTATGCATATCAGTATAATTATAAAATAAAATACAGTCTGCATTTTCTCCATCACGACCAGCGCGTCCACTTTCTTGATAATAACCTTCAATAGATTTTGGTAAAGCTGCGTGTATTACAAATCGTACATTTGGTTTATCGATACCCATTCCAAAAGCTATTGTTGCACAAACAACTTTGATCTAAAATTTTTTATTAAAAAAATAAAAATTATGTAGTTATAAAAAAAATATTTTTATTACTTATTTCCATACTTCTTCTGAAATCCATCGACCTTGGATATCACTTCTATTATTATCTGTAAGACCAGCATGATAACTTAATGCCTTAATGCTATTCTTTCGCATATGCATTGCATAATCATCACAATCTTTACGAGATAAACAATAAACAATACCACAATCATTCTTGTATTTTGTTTTTATCATAGCTATTACTTCATCTGAACAATTTTTACTTTTTTTTGCGATAATGCTATATCTTAAATTAGGTCTATTAAAGCTTGACATGAACCTGATCAAAATAAAAACATTTTATTATAAATGGTAAAATTTCGTATGTTAAATATATTTCAAATCAAATTACATACCATTTAGGTGTAGTAATACGTAATTGATGTAATATATCACTTCTAACTCTTGGTGTAGCTGTTGCAGTTAAAACAATGACTGGCACTTTAGGATAATTTTCTCTGAGACAATTCAATTTTTTATAGTCAGGTCGAAAATCATGTCCCCATTGACTAACACAATGTGCTTCATCAATAACGAATCTTGCTAATAATCTTCTATTATACAATGAAGATAAAATATTGCAAAATTTTGGAGATGCAGAGATTTTTTCAGGTGTTACATATAATAATTTAAGAGCTGGATCTTTTTTTGAAAGTTCTCTATATATTCCTAA